TATTAACTAAAACAAAATATAAAAGTTTATTGTGTTCATTAAGGCCTTCTTTCCCTGAGGAATCGAACACAGTAAAAAGGTTGACAAAGTCGTATAATTCTAAGAACCAAAGAAAGCCAGCAGTGACCCTGTTGTCCTACCTTCGGGGGGTAAACTGTAGAGCTGAGCCACAGGGCCAGTCACAGGAATAACCGGCAACTGGAAATGGAAACAACTTTTAATTGTTGGGAGTGGCAGGCGATTTTTTGGAAAACACTTCCTCATTATTAGACTGGAGGTGTTGACAAGAGGGTCAAGAGTTCTGACTGCCAAACATTCCTATTTTTTAAGAAAAGGGAAAAAAAAAGATAATGTGTCTTTGGTGAATAACTGAGCCAATTTTACAATACTTCAGAAAGTAATACATCAATAATTTCCTAGAAACAAACATCACAATAACCAATATTTTAACATAAGATAATTACATAATAGCTATATTTTTCAGAAATGTCTATTTGTAAATAAGAACCTCATGTGGCAAACTGATTAGGATTTTTCATTAAATAGTTTAAGCAGAAATCAGTATCACCTTTGGAGTGATTTAGGGGACATTTAGCAACCCTACGGCATCAAACAAAAAAGAAATTAAATTTCCTTAAATTTTAAGAAAAAAAGATTAAGAAAGAAATTTTAAAAGGTGTAAGAAATAAAAAGGAACATGCATCTGACCAAGCCTTTCTCAGAACTGTATCGGTTTTCATGCAAAGGCACCTCTCACAAGTTGGCTATTCAACTTATAAAAGAATAGCATGAATGTCACAATTTAAAGTTTCAAGAGTTTGATCTGCTACCCTGGTATCTAATCTTGAGAAGGGCTGCATCAAAAAAAGAAAAAAAAAAAGAAGGGCTGAGGAATAGGGGGTTTAAAACTGTCATATAACAATATTATTATTAGTGACAACTGACATTTAGATGGTACTTTGATACACTGTAAAATTTTTAATACACATTTTCACATATGACCTGTCAAAAAAGAAGAGAAACTAAGGCTCAGAAATGTTAAGGGGCATAAACAAAGTCACCTAGTCACAAAGTCACTCTTCCTCATGTATCAAATATCCATTGCTGTCTATACTAGGAATAGCAAAAAACAAGTGCATATGATTGACCTAGGAAAGAAAAAACTACAGGTAAACAATTAAATGTGTGTTCTGATGTCTCACTTATTATTATGTAGAAAGAGATAAGGTTTGTCATGTAGACCAAGAGGACACAACCAAAATAAATGGATGGTATTTTCAAAAAGACAGATTTCTAATAATTATAGCTTTCTGAAAACAAAAGGTTTGCATCACAACATTCCCATTCCCCATGGCTGATGGTCTTCTACAGAAACTAGAAAGGATCTTGCTGAATATACTGTCAAGAATGTTTACACTTAAGATGGGCGGGCAGAACTAACATTCCCAGGTCCAGGTTTCATTTTTGTACCATCTCTATTCAAAAAAGTTTCTTAATTATTATCCCGTAGAAAGAGAGAAGTTTGTCATGTAAGACCAAGAGGACACAACCAAGACAACAGAACTGCCCTACCAGCTGTAAAGGATCCACAGGTAACTTATGCAAGGGGCACGCAGAACTGAGTACAGCCAACTACACATCCTAGAAAACATAACTGTATGGAATCTTTTCCTGCTCAGGGGATAGATTTATACATCTTCCTTTTACCTTTGGGAAAAAGTAAAATCTCATGTTGCAGAGATGTGCACTAACCATTTTCTCAAATTCTGTCTGAGGCCACATGTGAGAAATTATTGTGCTTTTGGTTTTAAGATTTTTCAAAAAATGTATTTATCATATGATACTTTTCTATTTGTATACTAATTCAGTTTTCTTAAGAACCGAATCAAATCATTAGCACATAATTAGAATAATAAGAAGAAAATAACTCACTTGAGAAGTGTTATACAGAATTTTCATCCCATTGGCATCAGTAAATGCTTTTCTTCCCAACTTGATGTTTGTAACGCTTTTTAAACTCTGTAAAATTCCTTTTCGAATGAGCATGTTTCTATGCCGATTATCATGGCGGTGCCAATCTACATAAATTGTTAAAAGCACTTGGACATATCCTCTGTCTACAGCTCTCCTGGCATTTGTTTCTTTAACAAAAGAAAATTGAGAAAGAATATTTTTTAAATGACAAAAGAAAGCGGTAGAATAAATCAAACTAAAGATATAATCTTAATATTATGATGAATTCTTATAAGACTTTTTCCAAAAAAAGAAAAAAATGATGACCACATATTTAAACCTTTTTTCTAACAAAATAAATATGAGAAGTTCTGGAGGGAAAATTACAACATTTTCCAGAAACCTGCCCATCTATTGTTTCACAGTTTATAAATATCAAAATCTCTTTACTAAAAGTAGAGCTACATCTTTTTAAATGCTTTTGTTTACTAACAAAATCTTCATGTATTTTAAAACTTATGAATATACTGACTTTAATTACACCAAATGGAATATATAAGCCTTTAACTTACTATGAATATGATTTTGTTAAAAGCCATTATCATTTTTGTAACTTCTATTACAATCTCTGTATTCCCACTAAAATTAACTCTATTCAATGGTAGCTCCTGATGCAAACTTTATGTGTTTCCACTAAAATTAACTGCTATAATTACCCCACAATTATATGAATATCCATGCCATAACAATGCTACATCAAAAATACTTATGAAACTTTTCAGTAAATGAAATGTAAGGAGCATTACATGATTAGAAAATAATGATTTCTTGCTTTCTAGTCATTAAATTTTTATTTTAATTAAAACTACATTAAAGGATTTTTGTAAACGGTCAATTTTATTGGAGAATTAACAGAAAGAAATCCACAAATTTAACCTAATTTTATTCTTTTTAAAGTATTAATATTTAAGATTATTAATCAAAAGGGTGCATTTTATTAATATAGTGGCAAGGGAATCATATCATAGCAACATACTGAGCAAGCCACCCAGCACTCCTTTGGTGGGTCAATTAAAAGGAGTGCAAGATAATGTGGAATACCAACCCACCTGAGGTTGTTTAGTTACAAGGAAATACTAAGCTTGTCTTAATGTCGAGTTTACCTATAAAATGACCCCTTAGTTCATGGCATGGACATTAAGATAATGCAACAGTAAGGTTCCACTGATTTCAATTGCCTGAATTATTACAGTTTCCAAATGTGCTATAATACATATCTAAGACATAACTTATTAATTCCTTCTCAGAACTAAGTTTTGACATTAGAACGGTGGAAGAAACTCACAGGGGGAAAAAATCTTTCTTACATGAAAGCTTTAAAACCTCTATTGTGTCTAGAATAGCTAGTTTGCTAAGGCTGGCTATTTAGAAAAGCAATCAAATTGCTCTGACCAACAAGTTTCATGCATTACTTTCTTTACACCAACTGGAATATATAAACCTTTAGTCTACTAGGTGTGAATATGCTTTTATTAAAAGCCATTATGATCATTGTAACTCCTATTACAAACTTTGTATGTTTCCACTAGAATTTCCAATAGCCTAAATGGCATTTATGATAAATACTGAAATTCCTTATGAAAGATCAAATGAGGAAATTGCCCATAATTCAAACTCAGGTGTCAAGTGACCCTTAAAAAAAGTGAACAGAGTTACCTGCAATCTGCACTGAGCACAATTAAAACATTACTAAAGAGGGATTTTTATTCATGTGTTCAGCGTACCAAACTCTGAATCTGCCTATGTCTCTTCTTCCCACTCTAATTAAAAGACAATCTAGGTTTGTCTTTAGGCTATAGTGTCTAATCTATACTCCAACAATAGCAACTGAGCTGCTTATCTTTCTGGACTCTGTGTGTATACATATTCTTTGCTCTATACTCTCCCATATTTATTATAGAAGTCTAATTTATCCTTACAAAGTAAATGACTGCCTTCTCCAAAAAAAAAAAAAAAGAATTAAAAAAAAATGAGAATATTCCAAAATGCCATTGGTTAAAAATATGTAGTGTGCTACTAAATATTATTTTGCATTATTCAAATTTCATCGTCTTTAGTATCAGTTGTCATTTGAAAACATATTAAATATAAACCAGAGTCATTCTACTTGTCAGTTACCTTTTTTTTAATTCTAGTGGAATAAACAGATACGTGTGCCCACCACCCTCCATTGACAAAGAAGGGAGGGAGTAAAAAGGAGACTACTACTTAAAACTGAATATGTCAGATTTCAGTCATCTAAGGTTAACTGATTTCTATAAAATACTTGAAACTTACGAGAGTTTACTAACTTAAAATTAATGACTTTGCCATCAGTGATCTTGAAAATTACTAAGCTTTAATGAAATTTTAGTTTTAATACCTGCTCTAATCTACTCCAAATCGAAAGTATATACCTATATCAAGAATTAATCTTTATAGAGTTTGAACCACACAGGGCCCATCAAAGCAAGGCTACAAATACTTTCTAAAATTAATCCCTATATTGTGATCTTGGTCTAAAGCTTATCACAACATGTATGAAAATAAAGCTACACAGCTAACCTAATTGAGTACCATACATTCACTTCAAAAATAAAATTGTTGAATGTCAAACTCCAGTATAAAATACTAATACCTAAAGTGATTTTTAAAATTTAATAAATCATTACTTTACAAAGTATTAGATTTCCAATCAATTAATCATTTGCTACTATTCGAAAAAAAACAACCTCTGGTAATTCAAGCTTAAGTTGGTCTCACCCTTGACAGTTTCTGATAAACTACCTATTAACTATGTCTCCCTTGGGGGCAAAAAACATATGAAAGCCACCAACACAGATCTTTAAGACTAAATGCTATCA